TGACCTTAGGGATGTTTTATCTTGTTGTTGTTGTTGTTGTTGTTGTTGTTGTTTGCAAGCTCTGGGCTAAGGTTTGTCATTATCAGCATAGAAGGGACAAAAAAAATGGGGAAATACATCAGATAAGGTGTAAATATATTTTGAAAAGTGATTCAGTATTCTCGTACATACATTTTCTGTACATAAATGATTTCATAAATTCCAAATATTTACCAAATACCCCCTCCCCCCTAAACAAAGAAGAAGAAGAAGAAGAAGAAGGAAAATAATAATAAGAAGAATACGAAAAACAAAAAAATGTGAGAAGGAAAAAATACCTAGACACGACCATACCGATCTTGCCTTGGCAGTGAATTAAGGGTCAGAGAGCCTCGCCCACGCTCGTAGTTTAACCAGTCGTGCGAGTGAATTGAGGAAAGGTAATTATTCGGTGGCGATTCCGGGTTAACGGAAGTTCGTTGGCATTCTTGCAGATTATCTAAGGAATTGATTTTATTTTCGTCCGGGTGTTCGTTCTTATACTTGCTCGGGAAAGAAGCGTCTTCCTCTCTGCCCTGCCCCAGTCTCTGTTTCTCTTTTCACATATATATATATATATATATATATATATATATATATATATATATATATATATATATATACATAAGTTTATATATATGTATATGTATATTTATGTATATGTGCGTGTGTATGTGTATACATTACTTATATGTGCATACATACATACGTATATGTATACATATACATATATATAAACACACACACATACACATATGTATATATATACATATATATATAAATACAAACACACACACACACATCTATTTATCTGTCTTCTCTATTTCTTTCTCTTTCTCCCCCTCTCTCTCCCTATATATATATATATATATATATATATATATATATATATATATATATATATATATATATGATACATATATATATATATATATATATACATATATATGTGTGTGTGTGTGTGTGTGTGTGTGTTTGTGTGTGTGTGTGTGTGTGTGTGTGTGTGTGTGTGTGTGTGTGTGTGTGTGTGTGTGTGTGTGTGTGTGTGTGTGTGTGTGTATGTTTGTATGTGCGCGCGCGTAAGTCTATCTACCTTACTTATCTCCTTGGAAAAAATCCGACCGCAACAGGGAGCAAAAAGCGCGACGGGAGCCGAGAGAAAGCGAGGCGGCAGGAAGGGCGACAGGGAAGGCGCCGCCCGTGGAACAGGTCACGAGGGAGGGAAAGGGAGCGGAGGGGGGGGGTTAGGGAAAAGAGAGAGAGAATGGGGAGAGGGGGAGGGCCGGGTAAAGGGTATGGAGAGAAAGAGAGAATGGGAAGGGGGAAGGGGAGGAGAGGGGAGAGGGGAGGAGGGGGAGGGGGAGGGACAGGCACGAGAGGCGACGCCCCTCTCACTTCCGCTCCGAGCAGTTCCCTCTCGGCGCGTCACACTCACACATCCGCATTCTGTCTCTCCGGCCCGATTATACAACAAAGCCGGCCGCTCGTTATTAATTTGACGTAATCAGTCGGCGGAAAGCGTTTCAGACTGCTTTTCGTTCTCTGCTTTTACTCTGTATTGATAGACCGATAGATTGATTGATAGATTCCTATATGTATATACTTTTGTGCACACGAGCACACACAAACACACACACACACACACACACACACACACACACACACACACACACACACACACACACACACACACACACTCACACTCACACACACACACACACACACACACACACACACACACACACACACACACACACACACATATATATATACATATAAGCATGCCATCTTTTTGTCTACCTATCTATCTATCGATCTACCTGCTGATATATATATATATATATATATATATATATATATATATATATATATATATATATATATATATATATTGTATGTCTGCGTGAGAGAGAGAGAAAGATATAGATAGATAGTTAGATAGATGAATAGAGAGAGAGAGAGAGAGAGAGAGAGAGAGAGAGAGAGAGAGAGAGAGAGAGAGAGAGAGAGAGAGAGAGAGAGAGAGAGAGAGAGAGAGAGAATCTATCATTCTACATCAAGTTTGTTTTTATATAGTTTACATTAGTAGAAATTACAGGACGTTCCTTTTGGTTAATTATGAAGTGTTATTTACATGTTTTGACTATTAGTATCCGATAATATGAATAAAATTAGTTACCCCTAAAACAAATAATTCATATTCTATGTTACTATTAACAAAGAAAACGCAAACTTTATCGTGTCAGGGGATAACTTTTGAATATCAGTCGTATTTACAATTTTTTTAATGTCGGGGTAAAATGCATAATGTGCTTAACGTATTGATTATGGTTAATATTTGTTATTTCATGTTACTTTCTTGTTCCGTCTGTAAGTTTTGTCAGTTGCAAAGCTCGGGGTAAAACAATACATAACTCAAGATCTCTAGGGACATCTAATGATTTATTTATTTATCTATCTAATAAAGATATTTATATTTCAGGGTTGAGGGCAAGGATGATGCAGCGGCAGTAGAGGCCGTGAAGGCAGCCCTCCTCAGCGCAGAGGGGGATGACGACGCGAAACAGGGAAAGGCAGCAGCCGGCGAGGCAGAAGGAAGGGTGATCCACGAGCCCTTGGGGAAGGAGGGGGAGGACCAACCGACGATCGTCCTCACGGTACACGATCACCCGAGGGCCCCCGACCCCCCGCAGCCTCCTCCGAGCCCGGGCTTACTTGATCCAAACGATGACATAGAATACATCGACTCCGACGAAGGGGAGGCAGAGAACCAGACGTCTCGGAGGAAAGGCGCGGACGTGGATTACAGCGATCAGTGGTACGACGCCCGAGGTACTCTCACGCGCTCCCGAGAGAACCTCAACCGAATTAACGACGACTACGAAGAGTGTGTCGCGAGCACCTACTACGACGCGGCCGACGGGGCTGATCCGCCTCTCGAACAGGGGAAGAAAGCGGTCGCGCCCGAAGCCAGGGGCAGCAATGGGTCCCAGAAGGCGAGGGAGTGGGTTCAGAGCTTCAATGAGGATACGGAGCGGAGGGTTCGGCGGTGGATGGAAATGCAGAAGGAGAAGGACCCCTCGTCGATGCCCAAGAGCAAATCGGAGATACGCCTTGATAAACTAGATGAACCCTCAGGAAAATGGGCTGGGAGGAATGAGATTCAGCTGAACGCCACAGAGGATGACTACATTCTTGGGGAAGTTAGTGTTCGTGATGGCAGAGCTGACAACAAAAAGCAAGACAGCAAGACAGAAAAGAATGAGGTGGCTCGTCGGGAAAGTCTGAAGAAGATATTCCAGGTTCGAGGAAAGTTGTCCATCAAGCCTATCGTCGACTCGCAAAGACCCACATACACAGATACGGATATATATATAGCTTCAACACCGTATGCTTTGGCCAACCCGCCGAGACCTCAGGACCGCAAACTCCTACCTGGCGATTCTCTGGACGTATCTGACGACGGCATCCACTGCGCGTCCATCGACCTTGATCCTGCAGTGGAACTAGGTGGGGATTCCTCCAAGACCTCGACGCATGCGCACACGGAGGGCCAAAAACCGAAGACAACCGCCAGGAGAAAGTTAAACCTCGAAGTTGGTGCCAGATCGGATAATATTCCAGACATCATTATTGATTCCCCTGAGGTTGATGAGAACAGACAGGATCTGACGATTCTTAGACCTCCACAAACGATAATAGGAGCAGATGTGTCAATGCTAAAGTCAGACGAATCAAGTGTTCCTGATCAGCTAACAGAAGCAGGCGAGGACTCCACTCTACAAGACGTAACTTGGACAGAAGATTCCATTGCTGCTGACACGAACAAAGAGGACTATTTGGAATTCCAGATGGAAACAGCCGACACAATGTTTGAAGAAGCAGATGCAGATCGTAGTAATACTTTAACATTAGAACAGGATTCTCCATCTAATTGCAAAAAGCCTGAAAGAAAGAAACGAAAAATCCCAGGAAGTAGTATTCACAAATCCATCAAGAACTTCGCCGGTTCATTTTTCAACCAGGACGTAAGTGTCGAAAGTGAATCCGACAAGAAAAAGAAGAAGGGAAGACTCAGTCCCTTTACTAAAGATCACTTAGCAAAAACTCCCTCCGCAGCGGTTGACGACAAAAGAGAATCGTGTATTAACGCAGACCAGTCTGATAAAGCAACAAAGCCACAGAAAAGTGTAGCTAAAGAATCGTTGCCCGATGTCTTACTCACGTCCGAAACGGCTACTCCGGGATCCGCAAAAACGCACAAGGTCTCCACAGAGAGCCTCGAATACATCTCCCCAATCGAATCAGACGAACAAAAGTCCGTTTCTTCACGGTCTTCGCAAGACATCGGTAACCCATTCCTCGATGACGGAGAGCTGAATTTTAGGAAAGAGGCGTTGCTAGCTATCAAGGCGCAGGAAAACGACGACGTATCAACTCAGTATTATAGTTTCCTAACTGCCGACGACGGCTATCAGCCGACTTCAAGGGAGACAGAAACATCGACGCCATCCCCGGAAAATGTCGTGCCGCAAATACCACACGTACCAGACTCGCACACTTCGTCCCTTACTTCGAGTTCTACCGTCACTGGGAAAGTTACGGCCACGCCTAGCCATGATAATGCCAAGGGAACAACAGATGCCCAGCAGATTCACAGACTCTCAAGGTACAATTCATTTACCGAACAATCCTCCAAGACATCGCAACCCTTGAGCCCAGAAGAGAGAGTACCCAAACCGCAAACTTTGACACTGAACACAAAACAAGAGACATTACAGCCAGGTACTCAGGAGACTCCTCAGCCTCCGAAACCAAGCCCCAGGACCAAGAAGGGGCGCTACGGCTATTCAACAGGACCCTCCACGCCGACGACTCCGACGGGGAGCATCACAACAAATGTTACCACAGGACCGCAAGTGACCCGTGCCGACGCAGGGGTCACGAAGACACAGGATTCTCAAAGCACTACAAGCACGCCT